ACAGTTTATCTGGGGGGGGGGCGGAAATCACAAGTCAGAATCAAACCGCTTAATTGGCAGAATTTTCAGTTTTTAATTGAACTAATTTAATTTTTACCTGATCTGGCATCACACTTAATTTTCATTTAGTTGCCTTTTTTCACTTCTGGTAAGGTTCCTTCTGTGCCTGGCATGTTTCCCTGTCACCCTGATGAATACTGAGACAAAGAAATCTTTCCTTTCACAGAAATAACTGCCTCATCTGTTGCTAATTTCCCTTCCTACCCCTTATGGAACACAGGGCTCCTTTCTATGACCTCTTGCTGTGTACACGTTCGCCAGATCTTTTATTCCCACTTTTTTCAAAAAATTCCAGTTTTGGTAACAATTTTTCAATATATGTTTTCTGTCTACCCTCATCTAGACAGCACAAAAGAAATGCAGGGTATTCTCATGAATCCTTTATGCAAATCTTTAAATGGTTATTGAATTAAAAAATGGCTTCCCATTTTCTTTTCATCTCTTTTAGCTCTACACCCATTTCCATAGCAACAAACCGATAAGGGGTTTTTTTCTTACTGTGCTTCCTTCCTCGTCGTTATGTGCTTTCTTCCTGGCCCCTACTCGAGCAGAGGCACACAGCAAAGAAGTCAGATGAGCAAAGGTGCATTTAAATTTTCATGTTTTGGCTGTTGGATCTTGGCAGGGATTTACTTAAAACTTACAGTGGCCTGTAACTTAATGACCATCTGTTGGACTCTCATGAAAAATAAGTCTCACGTATGCAAGAATTTTTGGAACTGTATTTTCCCTTCACATAATTTGCTCTTGGTTCAATATGTCCCTGTGCTAATTTTAATTAAGAGAACAGCATAAAATAGTTCAGCAAATCCTCTGCACCAGAAACGCTAAACAAAGAGACGCTGCATTTTTCCAACCTTCCACTTAGTGTTTTCACTTAACTTTTGATTCAACATTTTAATTTAATCAAAATAATGTAAGTTAACTATTTTCTTCGAGAAACATTACATTCAAAAATGTTATGTCAGTAATTGTATTATTACATAGGCAGTTCCAGAAAACTCTCTGAAACAGATTTTTATTTAACGAATGAAGAAGGCCTAACAACTCGCATGAAAAAAAAGAGCCCATGGAAAGACCATAATGCAGAGGCCTGCACGAAATTCTAGAGCACTCCAAGGTTGTGCTGCACAGGTTGAAGATCAAACGGCACTAATGTTTAGGTAAATTACAGCAGTCTCTGAAATCTACCTCTAAGAACAGCTCCCTTTCTGCATTTTCCATGCTGACTTTAGCTCTTAGAAATTGATGTAGTTAAACACCAGTGTTCCTCTTTTTCCTGATGTGAAACTCATGCAATTTTGAGTCTGAATTCTCATTTCAAGCGTAATCATACATTTCATTTGATGCTAAGGCAACAGCATTCAGGATCCTGCTCAAAGTTAGGATAGTTAAGTTCAGTTAACTCTAAACAGCTAATAAAACCAAGAAGTAAATCCTTCACATGAAAACATGAAACAAGGCAAAACAAATGTTAAATAACTTCATTTGAAGCTCACACAACCTATTTTTTATACTAGGAAAGACAGACATAATTTGTCACAACAAATAATTTTCTTTACTGTTGACTAAAAATGTTCAATGTATTAAGTCTTAGGAATTAGGATCACCAGGTAACTACATAGTATTTCATGAGAGTAAAGTTGCTACTCAGAAAGAGTGCTCTTTTTCTTGCCACTCAGCAGCCTTGCCTGTTTTGCATATTGTTGCATGTTTAATTAGCAATCCTTCTGTAAGTGTCTGCAATTAGCACAATGATGATTAATAAAATAACTCCTTTAAAGCTCCATTTAGGCAGCAGAACTGCAAAATCAGGTATAATTAATTCATCATTAATAAATCATGGCTGATTAACTAATCCGTTGATTACAAACACATCACTGCATAGTCTCCCACCTGAGCTCTGGTAATTTTTCTATCCTGAACAGAAATAGAGACTAAGGAGTAGTAAACTATAAAAAGATGCATGAAGCAGAAAATATACTGGTTTTGTCAGGAGATGTAGATACCGAGTATATTTAACATTTACTAGGCCTCGTTCATTATTAGTCCCCTTGAGTAAAACAAATAATTGTACTGTCCATTTGTTAAATGTGGATGGTGAACAACAATTGCCTTCTTAGTTCATTTATATTTTTAAGAAAATGGTTGTTTTTTCCCCAAAGCATCTCAGATTATGGACAAGGTTCAGTGTTTGCATAAGCCAGCAGGAAGTAGCAAATGGCAGCTTGCAGTATTGCTCCTCAGGAAGATCCAGGTCACTAGCCAGAAAGCAATCAATTTGCTCTCTGAGAAGGCCAGGCCAAGGTGGCTGCTCAACATGCCGTTGCAACACTGCTGTTAGCACTGCCTCCATAGCTGTGTCTTGTAACTGATGATGAGGCTGTGTTTTTAAACTGTACAGGTCCATGAGCTTCAAGATTGAGCATGGAAGAACGTGCATTTCCATTTGGTAATTCTATTTGCTTGCCACTTACGCTCTTGAGTTTTGGAGTGCACTGAAACCATATTTTTGCTATGTTCTGTGTAGTGGCAGGAGCTAGAAGCTTCTATTTCAAATGAATCCTAAGATTCTCACACTGTCACTTGCCTCCAGCTACTGGGGCTTAAGTGAGATATAACCTAAGAGTTATGACAAAATTCAAAATAACTGAAAATAGGGGAACTTGACACAGTTATCATTTGTAAAAGACTGATATCCAGCTGTTCCCACAGTATGAAAATGCCTTGGAGTTCAAAACACTTCATCCTGGAATACTGCAAAGAAAGAACTAATGCAAAGCTTAGAGCAAAAGTGATTTGAAAGCGAAAACAGAGTTTTAGCAAGAATAACTGAAACAGTTCAATATTTCTAATAAATCTAGAGAAAGATGAGAACACTAAAGGAAGAAGTGACAAAATCTGAAGCACTACATTTCATGAAGAAAGTTACAGAAGAAGCTTTTAATTTAGGAGTAAATCTTCAGTCTTTGAAAAGTAAATGATACTGCTGTAATCAATGAAGTTTTCTTTCAGATTTTAACTATTTTTATGTGCACCACTGTGTCAATCTCTGAAGTCTTTCTGTGATTAAAAACACTGAATAAGCCGCAGTACTACAAGCCACTGCAATAGCATTCATCTTTGAAAAATTCTGTTCATAAAAGGGAAGCATAAAGCACATTTCTAAACCATTTATATTCTATTTGTATTTTAATTCAAATAAATTAATGAACGTATGAGCATCATTTCAATACATGGCAGAAAAAAGATTTTCTTTTTTAATGGACTGTAGTCAGATTTCACGGAGAATGACTGAATATGGGAAAAGTTTTCTTATCAATCAGAAAAGTTTACAATCCAGGATGCTTTTAGCAAGGAGTCTGGAAATAAACACAAGAATCATTTAAAAGCAGAAAAACAAGTCAGCTGTCCTTGGACAGTTTCTGAGGTCAGCGTATATATGAAGTGGCAAGATAAAAGTGAAGAAGACAACAGCAAGGATCTTGAAGATTAGAAGCGAGCCTTTTCAAGCAATTTTTTAAAATGGACAATAAGTACTCAAAGACTTTTAAGGACAGTGGTGATTCACTGCCTAGAGCTAAGATATAATCAGCATAATATGAATATAATTTGAAGGTGTGGGAGATTAAATTGTTGGTGCCAATTTCTTCAGAAAGTCAGGTTTCCTTTTAATACAATAGCAATTTGCCCTGCAATGTTAACTCTTCCATCGTTACGCAGTGAAATCTTCAACTGTCCTCCACGACGGGAACACTGGAAAGCTAAATGGAAACAAGAATCCATAATTAGAAAACTAGTATCTATCACAAATGATTTAACAAGCCATGAAAACTCAGGGAAATGAGGCCTCTGCCCCTAGAAAGCAAGCAGCAGCAGGGCAAGCATTGTAGCAGGGACACCCCTGGATGAATTGTCTTTATGGACGAAGATGAGCTGAGGGTGTATCTCAGACCAGAACTTGTCGGTTGAGTCTGACAAAGACGTTAGTTAATACAAGTACTGAAACACAGTTTGCTGTGATGTAGCCAACCAAGTTTCCTTTGAATATCTAAAGGAATCTTGAATTCTTCCGTTCCTGGGATAGACAGTTTCTGTAGGTAAGAAGGAAGAACACCCAGTACTATCTGCATGAGAATGAAGCAGCACCTTCATGGTACTGAACATCTGAAGTAGACACTAGGCCAAAAGAATGTGTTTAGCTAATGGATAAATGAAACTCAAGCAGCCAGTGGAAAAAGCCTACAAAGAAACATAGATGCTGCTTCAGCTGTCACGAACTGAGACCAAGTTCTTAACACAGACAGGAACAGATATTGATTTAGATAATGCTGAATATATTATTTAATACAGCTGGATAAAGTTTAAGTAGTGTGCTGGGTTTAATCAGGTATTTTGCTAGCCGGAGTTAAACCACAAGTAGAAATAGCCTTCCCCTTGTAAATAATCACAAGACCAAACTTCTGCCTAAACTCTTTAGTCATACACAGGTGGGGTAGTAATGCTCACTTAGTATGTTGAGTCTGTAGACTTGTTCAGTAGTCCGAGTTCAGCTGCTCAACTACTTGATCAGAAAATAGTCGGGTTCAGATGGCATCTAGCAAAGATTTGAGTTTCATAGAGTGTTGGCTTTGTAAAATGCTGTAAATGGGTGAATGTTCAAAGTCTCCTTAGTCAATGAATTCCCAGCTACTACAAAAGTTCCTCAAAGTGAAAGGGCATGTTTTTCCTCACAAACACACAATTTGTAAATGGGGTAGGATTGTATTCAGATCCCGACAGAGCACAGGATCTTTAACAGATGGCATATATACTGAACGCTTCACAGCAATTTCTCAGCCACAGCTAACAAACCTCTTCTTTATAACAGGATATTAGCTTCTGTAATCAAACACCCCAAAACAGGGGAAACAGGAGCTATAGAAAGATTGATATTGACACTTTCTGCTCTTTTCCATTTACAGAACTACCAGTTACTGTTTTTAACTTGTCAGAACAACATCTATGTATGGACTAATGCCTTCAATTGCAGTACTTTGGACATTTAAAGATCCAGACCATGTTAAATTTGATCAATTATTGCCAAGTGGGGATACACAGCTAAACACTCCCATTCTCTCATGACAGCAGATTTAAATAAGAGAGATTAATTATTTCAAATCTTCAGAGGTTGCCTTGTGGCTGATTTTTCTTTCTTTTTTAAAATGTGGAACAGGATTACTGAGACTTTTTCGATTTCACCTTGTAAAAACACTGGAAAATTCTCTTTGTAGTTGATGGGGATGGTGGTTGTTTGACAATTTGGTCTAATTAAAGTAAGAAGAGAAGCCAAACACAGGAAATTATGTCTGATACTTCAGCAGAGATGCAGCTGACCTCCTCCTAGAAGTCACAATACCCAGAGAGATCTGACAGTAGATTTAATATTCCTCATTTTTATATTATTTCGTATCTGATCTATTTTGGAACTAACAGATCTTTCATTTCATGGAAGAAAAATCTTTCTTTATTCTTGCAATAAAAGGCATCGGATATTACAGAAGCTACCGCAAAGGTTTCTAAAAAGTCTGAAGAGGCTCTTATTTATTAATCTTTGGCCATATGAAATTTTCTTGACTGCCAGCTATCTTTTCCAAATAATCTCACTAGTAACAGAATTCTCTTCAGTACTACCTGATACTCCTCAGTCACATGCACGTTAGGAAAAGAGATTTCTCATAAATACACGTAGGCACCACACATTAATCAGATGTGAAACAAACCTGTTCGCTTTAAATCTGCTTTGTTAGATTTCTACCGCAAAAAAAAAGTTTGAGGACATACATGCATGAAATATAAAAAAAAAGAATCTATAACGTGGGAAGATAGGACTGGTTTTTGTGCTAAGCACGTAAGAGAAGCTGATTACAGTATCAATTGCCTTTGCTGCTTGAGATAGTTGCTCTAAAAGAGGAAACGGCACGGTACATACAAAATACATGAAAATGCAAAACAGGTAGAAAGTATAATCTAAAAATACAGACAGAATTCCTGTCTGTCTGATTAAAGAAGCAGTGTCTATAGATGGCATGGAAGAGTTAAATTACACATTAACATCTGGAAATGTCAAAACCTTCTGAGAAAATGCATCCTTATGGACTGGCTGTATCAAAGACAGTTCCTCCTCTTCAGAAAATACATTGGGATTTTTTCCCCCCAACATTATGGAAACTATCACAGATTTGAGTGGTGTAAATGCAACCATGAGAACTTCAAAACAGTATATTAAACCCTTCCTTCAATTCATGACAGAGCTGGCCTCAGTCATTGTGGATTGCCATACTGAGCTGTGGAGCCCACTCTTTTAAAGAGCTTTTTATTCCCAAGAATATCAATTTTGAGATTCATTTGACCAAATACAGGAAGGCTGATATTCTAGACAGCTGTTTGTGTGGACAAGTTTTACTTTTATGGACAAGGAACCTTATTAGATCAAGGATCTAATCTCTGTTCTAAACTAAATGTTGTCAGGTGCATGGAAGAATTGGAATCCCCTGCCCCCTCTCAGGGAAGCAGATAGGGACCAGGGTATTTTGTATTGCTTGTTCTTCCATTCTCCTGCAAAGCACCAGAAACATGAGAAGCAAACAGACACCCAATGCCTCTTATCTAGTATTGTCATGCATTAACGTTTTCTCTCCGTTTTCTTCTTCCATCCAAGTTCTTCAGTTTTTTTGCTTAGCAACAAATATGTGAGGAGCGTATCTCATTGACTGAAAGAATACCAATAAATCTGTTCTTTGACTTGAGAGGTCCAGTCACATCAAATTCCTCTAAGGCTTAATCATTTAAAAATAAGACTGCAAATAAAATCACAACCAAACAAAATTTACTAATTCCTATGTAGCTTGTCCCTTTTCTTAAGGTCAGTCACGTTCTTCCTGCTCTTGTAATGTAAGTGACTATTCTGTCTTATATCCCTCCTTGCTACCATTTAAAAGATATTCATCCTGAGGAAAACTGATCTTTGTACCTAATTACACAGATGTATCAGAAAAAAAACTCTATCATAAAGCGCATTCTGTAAGCAGAATCTGAAAGTTAAAAATACATCATCTCTTCTTACCTAGCTATAACAAATACCCAGCTATTCTAAACCCTAAGTATCCTAAAGAAGTCACTGAAGGGATTAACCTGGAATAATTCTCAAGAAAATTCCAAAATCAGGCAGAAACCGTATGACTTTTTAAAACCTCAATATACATGAGGGGAAAGGAAAACAGTGTCCAAATTCTACTTAAAAGTACACATTGTGAATGAAAGTATCAGGATCTTTTCCCAATACCCAAAGTGCAAGACAGAGACCAAGAAGTAAAGTAAAATTCAATCAAAACCAAAATCATCTGAAGTTCACCAAGCTTCAGTTACGATGAAAGGTCACAAGAACTAGAATCCAAAAATTGATATCAAAATTTAACTGCAGAGAGTTACAATCAAGAAATTGAGACCTCAAACTCCCTGCCGTTACGACGCATGATGTTGGTGGGCAGGAGAGAAAGCAATTTCTTAAAAACTACATGACACACCAAATATTACATTATATTCTATTCATACGGAGAAAGCGGATAAGAATTATTGCTACAGTTTGGATTGCAGCAGTAATATAACTTTTTCTTTTTTAGTGAGCAGCTTTTACGTAAATGGGCAGCTTTGCAAGAAAACAGTTCTTACCAAGCATTTCTTTCTTCCCCAGCTGCTCTGACCAGTAGCTGCTTAAAACAGCATGGGCAGACCCTTAAAAGAAATTGGAAAACAAAGTACAGGGTTAAATTAAAATAACTACTTTTAGAGCAAGCACATTCAAACTGTAAATGCCATAAACAAACCAAGTGCCACATATGCCAAGGACAAAACCACCTCAGAGTCTGCACAGCAGACAGAACTCAAGGCTTTAACATTTAATTTATTTACGATAAAGCAGCATTACTTTCTCATCCTCTGGCTTCAACAGAAATTTTGCCTCAGTGGGGGCTTCACTACTAGACACAATTGGTAGGAATAGCAAATAGTACTGATTAAAATACTTGAGCCCAACTACTCATTTGTTCATTAAGAGTGAAGTTTCCTACTAACGGAATCTCAGAATATTAAATTCAAAATATTATTCATCTAAACAGGATGTTACGCAATGAAACATCAACAGCTACCCACCGAAAATCTGAACAGGCTTTTTGAAATTGAGTAAGAACAGGCAAACAGAAGTCATTGTGTAAAACAAAAGCATTTCCTTTTCTAGCAGTTTTTACAAGAAAAGCTACGGGGTTTTTTCAGTGTTGAATGCTGCTAAGTATCAGGTAAGTAACTGAAGCAGATCTTCAGCGTCTCATCACAGCTTCCAAAAACTAAAAGACCGATTTCTTGTTTCTGGACCATCAGATGGCTTAAAAACTTAGTATGATTTCTCAGATTGATAGCGATAAATGCTGCTTCACTCTACATCAGCAGCTAGGGGCAAAGACACACTGCTGGAAACCCAACTGTGAAGTAACTATACTTGTCAGGGCTCAAGGATACCAGGACATGTAGCATTATTGAGAAACCGTTACAAAAGAAACACAATACAAAGCCATAACTCTGTTTCAAGTATACTTCAGCAATACAATAAAGAATTATTTCTATAAAAGAACACTTAAAGATGGAAGAGACACAACTGTGAGCTATAACAAGCCTAGAAAAATCTCAGAGATTCAGGAAACTTCTTATCAATGCTAGTCTTCCTCAGAAATCCTAAGGAATGAGCTCTGGAATTAGATATGTCTACCAGAGTCTGTCCCCAGATTTATCAGGAAAGCAGGGCTGAAAGCTTGAAAAAACAAACAAACAAAAAAAACCCTGAAATACATGGCTTATATTTCTTAGTAAATCTTTCTTTCTGCTAGGACTGCTGAATAACTGGCATTATTCCAACAAATGAAGTTTTCTCTTTATCTAGCAAAACATTTAACGAGCATTTTTGACAAAGTTCTCATCTGTTTAATAATTAACCTGTGATTAGCTGGTACCTAAGCAAATAACATAATTCTGCAGCAATCGGCACCATCACAGCAGCGAGTGGAACATCAAAGGAACAGGCAGAACACGAGCTTTCCTGCCCTATATACACAACCAGCTGAGTTCTTATTATTCGTAGGCCTGAGAATATCCACAGGAAGTGTCATGAAACTAGAGGAGTTCTCAGCTGAAGTGCAAAAAAAAACCCCAACAATCAGAACACCAGCAGAAGTGGATATGAATTCTACTGCAATTCTCATTCAATATCAAACCAGCCTCTCGCTTTTCTCTAACTGGAATAATTCAAGGAAGAGATCTGAAAAAGACAGGAATTTGTGGCCTGATGACAGCAAGAAGCTGATTTTTTTCTGAATGAGTTGGCATCAGTCATGAAAGTTGCCAGTTTAATAAGCGCGCTCCTGCTGTCCATGTAAAGCAGTAATTTAGAAGAGACTCCAAAGTACAAAACCAGACTCACAAAGTTTAGTAAGTACCTCTCCACTGAACTGAAATAACAGTAAGTGTCGCTTATCACACAAACACATACCTGTAACAGGGTCTTCTGCAATTCCATACCAAGGTGCAAAATATCTTGAGTAAAAATCATGGCCTTTATGTTCACTGGAATTTCCCTTAAGAGTGAGTATGAGTCCTTTCACCTTTCCCGTCTTTTCAGCTGACAAAAAGCGTTGTGCGTTCACTTGCAGCTCTTCCAATACAGACCTTGAATATAATTATAGAATTTTAATAGCCCATATTCTTCATTTTACATTAATTTAAGTAAAGAGACAGATAACAACAAAATCATTTTCTCTACAATCCCAAACGAGCCATGGTAAAATGTCAGAGGAGACAAGATTCCTAGCATTGTCCTCCCAAAGTTATGTGACAGAAGACTAGCCTGAATATAAATCACTCAGAGTGAGCAGAGAAAAAAAGTTCAAGCCGTGCATTTCCTATTTATTTCTGAAAACAAAGCATCCTGGAATACTGGCTACAAAAATGCACACTTTTGTTTCAACATTTTTGTCACTGAAAGAAATACTTCATCGCTACAGAATGCAAAGAGTAGTCTCCTTTCAAAGGAAGCAAACAACTTCAGATCTTCACAGGACTCTAAAGCACTCCACAACAGTCTCAAGTCTGAAGTTACATATGGCTCCCTACAAAGTAAAGTCTGAAGTTACATATGGCTCCCTACAAAGTAAAGTCTGAAAGAGTAAAAGTAAGAAATATTCTCAGCTGAGTACTTATATGTTGCCACTAGCCCAATCTTTAAACATCAGTTAAGCCAAACTTGAAGTGAAAATAATAGTAATTTGGCCTGATTAAAGAATTTGTGTTTTGGCAATATATATCCAAATCATACTTGACTTAATCTCAGAGATCTGAATTTCATTAACAAAAGCTTTGAAATCATGTGAATTGGAATTTCCTCCATAAAGCCGCTTATGATGTTGTTAATTATGTGTAATCAGATTACAGTCAGATGGGAATAAGAATCCATGGCATTTTGTCAATGTATCCTGTCTCACTAAGAGGACCTCTATGGCTATACAACTATTCCTTCTTCATTTGAGAAGCAAGACTCCTAATTCCCTGCTAGGTTATTGAATCAATGTTTTACTCGGATGGATGGGGAAAATACATCATCGTTAAAACTGTTTCCTACACCTCCTTTTCTTGGAGATAGATTTTGGATTGTCTTATTCAGCTTTGCAAGTTCAATAAGCTCACATAAGAAGATAAAGTAACTACTTAACACAGGAGTTTACATTGGAGTTTTTAATATCCTCGTTTTAAAGCTAGATGAAAGAGACAAGTACGTAAGGAACAGAGGTTAAACAAGCAGACTCAATTTCTGCGCACGTGATTATTTAAAAAGGTGTAAGACCTTTCATAAGTGTCGCTGAGGCGGACTAAGAGTTTCTTCGTGTCAGGAGAATAACGGAGATCTTGAACAACCATGTCACCAACGGCTGCCTGGTGGACAAGATAAAGGAGGCAAGCATCATCATTTGAAATACTGTTTCCTTAACATTTTCATCAAACAAACTCCCTGCTAGAAGAGGGTTTATGGAAGGTTTTTGATGCAGCCCTCAGGCACACACAAGCAAGAAAAGTAAATGCACTAACTGCTTGAAGGGACACGGGTAGGCGCGAAGAGCTTTTGCAAAGAAATTCAGGGACCTAGAAGAACATGAAATAATGTTTAACGTTTTCATCAAACAAACTCCCTGCTAGAAGAGGGTTTATGCAAGGTTTTTGATGCAGCCCTCAGGCACACACAAGCAAGAAAAGTAAATGCACTAACTGCTTGAAGGGACACGGGTAGGCGCGAAGAGCTTTTGCAAAGAAATTCAGGGACCTAGAAGAGGGCAAGGACACCAGACTGCCCTCACTCACATGCATACAATAGGCTGAAAATGCCACTGAAATAAATACTGATGCTTGAGTCAATGGTACTGGGAGACAAAAGTTCAATGGCAGCATTTCGGAGAACTCCATTTCCTGAGCTGCATGACTCAGATCTTTAGAGTTTAGTGTTTTGAGGTCAGGAGTACCTCAAGCAATGCCATGTTGCCACTTTTAAGCCATTTTAATATATAAAAGTAAGTACAGATATAAATATGTTGCTTCTAAGACCACCTTCAGATTCTTTTCCTACCTTTATTAACTCTTCCACTTCCTGAAGTACCTGAAGAAAAGAGAAAACAAAACCACCACAATGTAAAAAATAAAACATATATATCTATATATCCAACTACAAATCAACAGATTTATAAATAGATAAACATTTATAGACAGGTAGATGATGTTTACATACACATACAAACATAAATGCATACCTTCCTTGAAAGCCCTTAATGAATGAAATTTTGACTGACCTGCGGGTAGGTTAAGTGAAGTGGTAAGTCCAGGACAATATGATCTTCTGCTTGCCTGGCTTTTAATTCCCCACTCAGTGTCATAAACGTGAGAACTGAATTTGTGTTTTCTAGAGAGAGAACATGGCAACATTATCAAACAGAAGAATTTGAATAGAAATTGTTATAGCTCTTAGAGTAGCTCAATATATTCAGGAGCTTGTTATGTGGCTAAAATATAGTAACCACAGCAAACCTGTATTCTGAACCAAATTCCCAACTAACTCAATCAATAACCTGCTGAGGCTAACGAACACAGCAATTGCCAGTAAATCTTTTCTGCGCATTCCTAGACTGAATAGCAATTTCCTTTTAACTGAAAGGGCAATATTCCTATTCAAGAAATTCTCCTGTACATTTCACAGATGACATTTGCGTACTTAACATTTTTCTTAAACAAGAGTAATAGTAAGGCACTGGAGTCCTTAAGTGCAAGCGCAGTGTTAAGTGCAAGCATCAGACTACCGCCTTATAATTACAGAGCAGTTGTAAAAGACAATACCTAAGGTATCTCCATATGTTCTGAATATTCAATTGCCTTTGCTGTACAAAACAGAGATCTTAATTAGAAGTGAATTTTCTAAGAAGTTATAGCAATGAATAGCTTGTGAACATACTCTGTATGTGAAACAACACAGCAGCTGCTGCAAGTGTAGCATGACCACAGAGAGGAACTTCATTGGCTGGGGTGAACCATCTGAGTCCAAAGCAGGAGCCTTGAAAATAAAATGTATTTAGTGTTACTAAGTGGAAGAAGTCTCTTTCTTCAGTTTATCTCAAAACTTTATACACACTGATGACATTTCAGTTAATCAAAATGCCTGTTATAATCAGTCTTGGTCATAACCACACTTTTAGGAACTTTTAGGAATTTCGTACTGATTTCTGGAACAGCCGTTGCCTTTGCGCCAGGTCAACAAAAGGAGTTTACTACTAATAGAGGAACACTGCTTTGTTGCGAGAGCAAAGGGGCTGCAGAGTAGAAAGGCCTGACAGCCTGAGAACTGAGCCTGTGAACCAGAAGCACAGGTGGCACCTTTGAAGCGCTGCGGAGTAGCTAGGAATGGGAGACGTGCCAAGATACCATCAATAAGCACAAAACCAATGAACTGTAGCAGCACCTTATCACCTGAAAAGGTGAAAAAAAATCTGGAAAAAGGGGAAAACATCCTGAGAAAGTAAGAATTGTTAACTGCCGCTGGCTGTTCTAACTGAAAGAACAGGAAAACAGTCTGGAAAAATAAAAACTGGTCTGAGAGAACAGAAAATGTCATCATTTATTGACTGTTCCACGTGAAAATTAGAAATTAACAGCATCTATTGGCTTCTTGAAGTGGTGGTGTCCTACGCTGCCTTATATCTTAATGATATTAAAAAAAAAAAAAAAAAATACCCAAAAAGGAGCTTCTGTCTCCCAGAACTTTCTCTGCTGTGTATATTTTTCCCCTTCCTAAGCATATATGTGAAAACTTTCTGTGAGATCATAGACCCTTGCTGGGGACACATGGCTGACTCTAAACTCCATGACACAGATCATCTTTGAAGTGTGACCGTTATTTTACTGTTCCCCCTCTGGGCTCGGTTTGGTTTGTCCCTCCACTTCTGGGATCTGTTTCTTCGTCCTCTGCCATGGAATCTATTTCATGCGCTTGATACCATGTATGCACACATGTAAGTAATGTATCCTAAGTATGTCTACTGTTGTATTATTGATGTTTGATTATTGACTAGTGACAAGTTTGTAGTAACCTGTAATATCATATATATATTTATATAATTCTTGCCTCTAATTACCAATTCCTGCTATACTATTGTCCACTGATAATAATTTGTAATAACTTGAAAGAGAGAGATATTGACTTTATTAATCATAGGTATACTTGCTAGTGGTTATTTTTGTGGTATTTGTAGTAATCCGTAATAGTAGAGAATTTAGAAGATCAAGCCTCTGTGTTCCTGTGTATTCTGGAATCCTACAAAGTCAGTGTTGTGATCTCTACAAGCCTAACATCTAACTCCAGGCTAGTGGGGCTCCAGCCCCTTGGCTAATGCCACCACACAACTGCAAAGTGAGCAGATTCAGCAAACTGATTCAGCTGACAACTAATCCACAAAGCGATTTTGACCAGACTCTCTATTTGTCTGGTGTTTTCTATCTTGTCTAGTGTCTCTCCATTTCCTCTCCCGTCATATATACATGCCCTACCAAAGAACACGAGTGCATTTCCTCCACCCAAACCAACCAAACAAGCAGCCTAATGGTTTGATTTGGGCATCTTCAGATTCCTCAGTTTTGTTGGAAATACGTATTCTCCAGTACTGGCTCCACAGACAGCTTATGAGATTTTGTGACAAACTCAAATAATAGCTTACGGTTACCCCAGTGATGATTTCCTGAACAGCCAAGCCAGATTCTACTCGCTTTGCAGTTTAGTGTGTACAGAATAAGCACATTCCATCTCTGTTCTTCCGCTTGCATAATAACAAATTATTTCAGGAGATTAGTAGTAGTAATGGAAGTACTAACTGAAGGATCTTTGCATAGCATTTTTAGGAGATTTTGGATATACAACTTGCTTATTTAGCAAAAGGCACTAAAACAATTGGTCTAATTTATGAATAATAAATATTTGTATACTGTAGAATGAATTTAATATGCAGCACAAATACTCTAAAGAACTCCATCTGCAAAAAGCTTATAATTACCGTATTAAGACAGACACATCACAACTCCAAGATTTTGCTTTGGCTGTCTTACAAATTGATGTCATTCCTTATAAACGCACCCACAGTGTCTTCCTGTAAGAGATTTTGGTGGGTAAATAGAACTACTCACTTTTGGAAAAGTCATCTCCAGGGTGCAGTTTTCTGATAAAAGCCGTTTCTGAAAGGTTCATTTCTGCTGCAATTTTTTGGTGCAAATCTTCATCCAAGCCCTAATGATGAAACAACAAAACCAATTAAAAGCAGGCCAAAAAACGCAGAATCAAATTTTCTGTCAAACAGAGTAATTTCATTTTCTATTATAATAACACATAATTTCCTTTTTAGTTCAAAATACTTTCTGAGAGTAAAAAAAGCTTTAAGCATAAAATGGGGCAACTAGTTCAACTATTGTGAACCTTGGGCATTTCTAAGATCCGTCTTATTACTTTACAAATTCTCGGGATACATGGAAAATAAAACCAGAAAAACCCAAAACTCAGTCTTGCCATGAACAACAATATTTTTTTAAAGTCATGATTAAAGTCACACTGAAAACTCATTATTAACGTAATCTAAAAATAACTATAACTCTCTTTTTATAACTTAAAAAACCCATGCCAGCAAGAGGTACGGAGTAATGCCAAGGCGGCTGATGAGCCCTTACAGCTTGCATGCTTGATACTACTCTCCAAATAATGGAAACAATATGCTAAGTCAGCAGAAGCTGAGAGGAGACAAACCAAAAAAAACCAAAATGCTGGAGCTCGCTACATTCTGCTCCAACTGCCTGCAGACTGAACTCAGTGAACGTTGGTCCCAGGATACACTAGCTGTAGTGATTGTACAAAATTCTACTTCACCCTTTTCCGTTGTGCTTTCCCCACAATTATGCTGAGTGCCCAGGTTTGAGAATCTGGTCTTTAAAATACTGACACACAAATGACACCAAGTACTGAGTGGACCAGCTCAGGTTCAACCTCTGACAGGTAAAAATTTGCCCTGCCAACTTTACTTATTTCCCTTAACAACATTAATCCTTTTCAGTCAACAATCCCATCCTACAGTAATATGAAACAACTACTGATGCGTATCATAGACCTTTATTTGCAGAATTCTCTATGATGAAGTAAAATTCTAACTTTTTACAGTAACGAGCCTCTCTCCTAAGGAAAACAGTTGTGTCAACCAGACACGAAGAAGATACGACACCAAAGTCCAACCAAAATGTTATTAAAAGTAATGGAACTTTATTGAAACACTGCCATCCTGTGGCACTCCCAAAACACAGAAAGGGCTCATTTGGCCAATCTTTCATCACTCCCCACGGTTTTTGGAAAGCATCTGCTGAGATTCTGAAGGGAACAGAGAACAGAAACATTGCTGCTGGCTGCACCACATTTTCATGAAGCTTAGAATAAAATTATGAACTAGAATTGCAGGCTTAACTGAAGCTCAGCTTTAACTTTGACACTAAAGCCTCTAGCCCCAGGTACTGTAGAAAAAACTTTCAATTCTCAACACTCCAAAGGCAACCTGCAAATAAGTTGCCCTCACGATATATTACTGTAATAAAGTAAAATTAATGTAAAAATGCAATTAGAAGTTCATAACTTATTTATTCATAGCTCATGGTACATTCATTCTGAGAAGGAGTATTTAAATTTTAGGAGGGCCAAAAATACCTGTGAAGTGAGACGCTGTCAAGCCCAACCTGAGCTGATCTGCTTAGTAAGCTATATTGTGTAAGATCTCGACAGGCCTAGGAACATTTAGAAGGGATTCATAGTGTCAGCACAAGCTATTGCCTTTGACTACATATATTTTCTTCATGCGTTACTATACAAACATGTAAGACTATAGGTTTCTAATCCAGTTTAATAGTTTTCCGTAGAAATTGTCAACAGCGTACCAATTAGTACCAACTCTTCAGAACACACTCATGAGGAGGATGACTGCTGCCAATTGCACTACAACTACCACGCAACTTTGAAGTAATAAGAACTGGCTGTTTAAACTTCGCTAAAGCTGAACCTGACACACTAACGGTGAAAGACTCAGACCCAGCCCAGGGGTATACTCCCCTACTTTCCTTCCATAAAAGAGACAAAATTTAAAAAATTTTAAAAAGGGGGGAACACAATTCAAAAACTATTGAGTACTGAGCATATGTTATTGCATTTCCTTTCAGAGATTTCATTCTGAACTCACTGTCTTTAGAAATTACGCCTTTTTTTTTTTTGCTTAACTCAGAATAAAATCAGTACATTTATATATACATATATTTAAAAAAAAAAAGCATGTCTGGTATGAAACCACTCTGATGGCACTCTGACACGTACCCCTGTGCTAATTTCTCTGTAGTGTGGTGCAACAGCAACTGGCGCTTGGAAGCCAAACGCCCGAGTAAAGGAAGCAAAGCCTAATGCCGTGCTGAGCGCTCACACCGAGGACAGAACGGTAAATGCCACTATAGTCTCTCATAAAATAGTTCTTTTTAAAACTTACATGTTCAAGCAGACAAACTGCCGCGGGATTTCCAGAAAATGGCCGGTTTGTAAATGCATCAACCGTAAAAATGGGAATCTGCATTTTCCTTCGCGCTATTTAGTCTAAAGCCGTTTTCCCCAAGGTACTTCGTAGCCGGTTTTACCCCCAGATGACATTAGAACCCTCAGTTAATGTTTCCCTAACATGGGGCAGGCCCCGCCAGCCCCAGCCCATCGCTTCCGAGCGCGTACATGGACGCCAGCCTCCCTCCTTCCACACACCGCCAGCGCTCGGCACCGATCGTTTTCGCCTCCAGAACAGATCTTAACCTCCCTCTTGCACAGTTTGCACGGGCTCTTCACCACAG